TTGGCTGTAGCAATTCTTACACTAAGTATTTCTGTTAAGCTTTAGTTTCTTCTCAAAAGGTCCATTGAGGAAACTGATATGACTTGTTCGGATAGAGGATCTTGTCGATCTGAATAATCCATACGATGTTAATTCAGTTCCGTGATCAAATGTGTTCAGTGGGATGACCGCAGTATACTTTCTAGATGATATAAAAGTCTGGAGAATAATAAGTAGTGATAATACTAAGCTCGAGAGTAAGCTGGTTCAAATGAATGAGCTAGGTGCTCACAAAGTTTGGATTGGAAGACCAATATCAGAAAGTGACCGAGTGCACATCAGCCACAACGACAACAACAACAACGACCAGAATTACATGACAAATGGAACGCCACTCTCACAAGATTAAGAACACCTAGAAACTTTAAGTCGTGACTTGAAAAAGACCTTACACTACAATGCAACAGCTGCTAAATGGTGCTGCGTAGTATGGTCACTTCGCAAAATCTTTAGATTCCTTGACGAAAATATATTTCAGATTTCATACCCCATTCACCTGACACTTCACCTAAAATACTGCATCCACGCAGCTAATCCATGTCTTTTTAAAGATACTGACACTCTCGAGCATGTCTGACAAGTAAGTAATAACACAGTAAATGTCCTGACCAGTTTCTCGCATCATAAGAAATTACAACACTTAAATTCTCTACCTTATAATCAAATGTGAGGCCAGGTTACATTGGAATTTCGTGCCCTTAACGATCAGTTATGTGCTGACATGTCTACCCTCTTGTTAGCTTGAAGACTAACCATCCTCGATGCCTTCACAAAAAGATAAAAAGACTCACAATTAAATACACTCAAGATAGGATTCTATTTTCTCAGTGGTCATCGACAAGATCCTCTATCCGGACAAGTCATATCAGTTTCCTCAATGGACCTTTTGAGAAGAAACTAAAGCTTAACAGAAATACTTAGTGTAAGAATTGCTACAGCCAAATCAACCTTCAACCTATAATATTTATTACTGAAAACCGATGTTTAGTTCAATTCACGTATTTGTGACATGTTTTGGTCTGGTCGCCCCTCGCTTTCTTCCATCCTACTCCTACACCATAAAACATCGCTTGTCGGAGTAACAGAGTCAAACGTCGCCTTAAGTCGAAAAATACTACTATTGTGGAACGTCTGAATGTTCGTCTATGTTCTAGGACCTGACGAATTGGGATTATCTGGTCTATACAGCCACGTCCAAGTCGGAAACTAGCCTGGTTTTCTCTAGTCTGCTCTGCACGAGCTTTAGTTAGGCGTCGAAGTATTATTAAAGCTAATATTTTATACACTGCATTAGTCAGACTGATCCCTCTGTGACTGTTACAAGAGGACTTTTGTGCCTTCTTATAGACTGACACAATCAGTGATTGAGACCAGTCAGACGGGATTACGTCCAGTTCCCAGATTCTACCTAAGGCCTTAGTCAATCTCACTGCCAATACTGGACTGCCATCCTTAAAAACCTCAGAGGTAAACCTGTCAGGGACTGCTGCTCTCCCTCGCTTCAGATTTCCTATAGCTTTTTCAACTTCGTTAAGTGTTGGAGGACCTACATCAACATGCCATTCAGGTCGAATGTAAATTGAGGGAAACCGAAGTGTGGCTGAAGGCCAGTTGAAATGATCCCTAAAGTGTTCCGCCCATCGATCCAATCTCCTGGATTGAGAGTGAATGATATGTCCATCTTTTCCCGAGATAGTTTCGCTAAAAGTTGGATTCATAATACCTGTGTCCTTGACAAGTCTTAACAGTTGTCTGCCGCTACTGTAGTCAGATATAGAAGTAACTTCAAACATAGTCCATGTTCTATTCAGGAAGATCTCGGGGGAAGAACAAGTGCCGCAGATAGACTAGAAAGAAGGATATTTCATCAAGATATCACAAAAAGATCTGAGCAAGTGTGAGAGCTACAGGGGCATCACACTACTATCCGTACCAGGAAAAGTTTCAAAAAAGTGTTATTGGACTGGATGGAAAGTTCAGTAAACGTTCAGCTTCAAGACCAACAGACCTGATTTAGTAGGGATCGGTCGTGCACAGACCAAATCGCGACACCAGGATCATTGTTTAGCAATCGATTAAATGGAACTCGTCACTATACATCAACTTCCTTGACTACGAGAAAGTATTCGGTAGTGTATGTAGGTGGGCTTTATGGAAACTTCTTCGGCACTATGGAATGAGTACCTAAGAACATCGTCAACATCATACGGAATTCATACGACGGACTACAGTGCAAAGTGGTGCATGTAGAACAGCTGACAGACGCATTCCAAGTAAGGACCGGAGTCAAACAAGGCTCATCGGCGAACAAGGAGGACCTGATGCAGATGTAAAGGCGAGGATTGGCAAAGCAAGGACAGCATTCCTACATTTGAAAAACATATGGAACTCAAAACAACTGTCTATAAACCAATATCAAAGTCAGAATCTTCAAAACGAACGTCAAGACAGTTCTACTGTACAGAGCTTAGGCTCCGAGAACTATTACAACCACCATCAAAAGGGTACAGGTATTTATAAGCAATTTTCGACACAGTCAGTTGTGGGTTCGCGAAACGTCCCGCTTATAAGCACTGGGTTTCTTCTGGTTCCTTACAACTCATTGAAGCCCGTCGGTCTACTCCGGGTGACCGTGAGTTTGACCACAAACGAAGGATGTTACGTAAGGAAATTGGGCAAAGCTTGCGTAAGGACCGAGAAGCCCGGTGGTCGAAGCGTGCTAATGAGCTGGAAGCAGCAGCTGCATCTGGTAACTACCGGAAGTTCTTCCAACTCATCCGAGCCACTGGCAGCAAGAAGTCTGGTGTGAGCGAAACAATCTGCGAGGATGATGGGATGCCAATCACTAACATCCATCGACGTCTTGGACGATGGGCAGAATTTTTCGAAGGGCAGTTCAACTGGCCTGCTGCTCCGGTAACATCGGTCGAACTGTCCTGCCCTCCATGGCCGGTGACGACTGATCCACCAAATGAGGCGGAAAACCGCAAGGAACTCCAACTCTTGAAGCGTTACAAATCAGCTGGCCAAGATGACTTACCTCCGGCTCTTTTTAAACATAGTGGTGACTTTCTGGCTAAGAAACTGACGACGTTTACAGAAATCTGGGAGCTAAAGAGTGTACCAGCATCATGGAATCAGTCGATAGTTGTCCCTATCTTTTAAAAGGGTCCACATCGTCTCTGTAACAACTATCGGGGGATAAGTCTACTTCCGATTGCGTTCAAACTATCGGCTTCCGTCAAACTTCGTAGATTGCTCAAAACCCGAGAAAGATTGACTCGCGAGGAGCAGGCTGGGTTTCGTTCTGGTCGAGGATGTATTGATCATATCTTCACACTCCGTCAAATGTTAGAATACCGTCATATTTATCAAAGGCCAACAATCGTAGTGTTTCTTGACATCAGGGCTGCTTTCGATTCGTTGGACAGGACTGTTCTCTGGGATTGTCTATTGAAGAAGGGTGTGCCTAAGAAGTTCATTAACATCCTAAAAGCCCTATATACAAACACCTCAAGCAGAGTGAGGGCATACAACCACCTTTCTCCATTGTTCTATTCGAGCAGTGGGGTTAGACAGGGTTGCCCAATCTCACCATTCCTCTTCAACTTTGCCATCAGTGACATTCTGGAAACAGCTCTGATGGATGTGAGTAATGGTGGTGTGGATCCGTCGCCTGGAGAAAGACTTCTCGACCTTGAGTATGCGGATGATATTGTCTTACTGTGCGATAGTGCCCAAGGCATGCAATCCGCACTTAATCAGTTGGCAATCAGTGTCCGTAGGTATGGTATGTGCTTGCACCTTCGAAGTGCTAAGTACTTCTACAAGACTGGCAGGATTCTAACCATGTTCTCACCCTGGATGGTGAGCAGATAGACGTAGTCGAGAAGTTCGTGTATCTGGGTAGCTGCATAAGTGCTGGTGGGGGTGTGAGTGATGAGATCAATGCACGAATAGTGAAAGCCAGAGCGGCTTATGCCAATCTGGGCCACCTTTGGCGCCTTCGTGATGTTAGTCTGGCTGTAAAAGGTCGGATCTACAACGCGTCGGTGAGAGCAGTTCTGCTCTATGCTTGTGAAACCTGGCCTTTCCGAGTTGAGGACGTTAGACGACTCTCTGTGTTCGATCATTGCTATCTCTGAAGGATTGCTGACATCCAGTGGCAACACCATGTCATTAATGCAGAGGTTCGGCATCGCGTGTTCGGGCACAGAGATGATAATGCAATCGATGTCACCATCTTGAAACACCGACTTCGTTGGCTTGGACATGTTCTACGAATGTCGTCCCAGAGAATTCCACGTCGTGCATTATTTGCCGACTCTGATACTGTTTGGAAAAAGCGGAGAGGTGGTCAGTGCATGACATGGTGTCGTGGCATGAAAGGAAACAGCAAAGGACTGGCTTGTGTTGGTCCTTCGCGACCCCCTGGTTGGGGTCCGAGAGACGGTACAACACAGTGGCTAGAGACGTTATTAGATATGGCTTAGAATAGAAGCCAGTGACGATCCTGCTGTAACCTTCTTTTACTTTCTTCATAAAAAGTGGTTGTCTCCCTTAACTAAAAGATTTCTTCCGATTGTACTTTCCGTCCCCTCCTTACTACCACACTACCTTAAACCAATCTCTTCGTTATTGTTCTCTTTTTTTACGCTTATTACCTGTTTTTTTCTCTTTGAATTCTCATTGTTTTGTGTGGCGCATGTATATTGGCGCTCTCTTGTACCAATGTTTGTGTTCAAATAAATAAATAAATTCTACACAAGATACTCATTGTCCGTTGGCCGGATACCATCAGCAACAGCCTACCGCGGGAGAGAACAAACCAGCATCCAACTGGAACGGGAACTAGGAAAAGACGCTGAGAATGGGTTGGACATACAAACTCAAGTCTGATATGCGGTCGATATCTACAGGAAAGGAATATGTGATGTCACGAAATCGGTTGTAATATGACGATCACTTTATTTGCGGTTACTTTCCTACAAATTTCAAAACGCGTATCCTTACTCAATACCATACAACTCCTAATGCCTATGTCATCAAACACATTGTGTCCAAACAACTCGTCCTACAACATTAAACCATGAATGACTTAGCTGAAATCTAACCAAGCTCGAATATCCATCGACCGTATCACACTGTTAAAACGCACTACCTAGTACGACACAACAGACCAACATCATTCGCAGCTCGCGAAAACAGAACTACGTTTAGAAATAAAATCAAACTAAAATTTATTTTTTAATTTTACTTTAACAGAAATCACATGCCTCCACGTAGGCGCAGAACAAGATGTAAGGTTGACTCTTTCTGGATGTTGTAGTCAGACAGAGTACGTCCATCTTCCAACTGCTTACCAGCGAATATCAAACGTTGTTGGTCAGGAGGAATACCTTCTTTGTCTTGAATCTTCGCCTTCACATTCTCAATAGTATCACTAGGCTCAACCTCCAACGTGATCGTCTTACCAGTCAACGTCTTCACAAAGATTTGCATTCCACCACGTAGACGAAGGACAAGATGCAGAGTCGACTCTTTCTGGATGTTGTAGTCAGACAGAGTACGTCCATCTTCCAACTGCTTACCAGCAAATATCAAACGTTGTTGGTCAGGAGGAATACCTTCTTTGTCTTGAATCTTCGCCTTCACATTCTCAATAGTATCACTAGGCTCAACCTCCAACGTGATCGTCTTACCAGTCAACGTCTTCACAAAGATTTGCATTCCACCACGTAGACGAAGGACAAGATGCAGAGTCGACTCTTTCTGGATGTTGTAGTCAGACAGAGTACGTCCATCTTCCAACTGCTTACCAGCGAATATCAAACGTTGTTGGTCAGGAGGAATACCTTCTTTGTCTTGAATCTTCGCCTTCACATTCTCAATAGTATCACTAGGCTCAACCTCCAACGTAATCGTCTTTCCTGTCAACGTCTTTACGAATATTTGCATTTTCCAAATATTTTCGAATACAGTAATGAAGACTATGCAAACAGCTGACGAATTTATATACTAACTTCTGGAACTTCCGAATTAGATGGTTAAAACAAAGTTAGCTCTCAAGGGATTTAATAATTCATGCATCAGGAACTGGTGATATGAGAATAGGCATTTGCAGTCAGGCAGATATAAAAATTAAATAACATGACCTTGTAGCGGTAAATAAATCTCCAAAATAAATAGCACTAAGTTTTCGACATTGGATGCTGACCATATGTTTTAGTGGATTCACCTAGCTGAAGGCGCTCGGTCAGTCATCCGCACCAGATCACGTGTGGTAACGCCGTGCTCAACATCAACCGCAATCGCTAGCCAGATTAGATCAGAGAATTCCGATATATTGGTCATCGCCAAATATACTCTTCCGATCTCCTCGACTCTGTCTTTTGATTTCTCTGGGCGGGAACGAAATATATTAGAAGGTGTTACTGGTAGAAGCGTCGTCAAACACTGAATACCTGTGACATCATCATTGGTGAAACCGACGTGATCTGGTACACCTAATTGCAACTGTGAGTCTGTTCCTTTTTGGGATTTTTATATATCATTGCCTTAATTTTTTAACTTTTTTAAACATTGTGATTTTTTTTCGTGTTTTTTCCTGGATATATATATTTTCCCCTCGTTCATTATCGTACTTCATACTTCATCATGACTGAACAGACACCTAAAGTACTCAAGCTTAAGACTTTGTCCCCGCCTTCGTTTCAACTGATGCCTTTCTGGCCCGACAACATCGAAGCCTGGTTCTGCTACGCAGAAGCCGACTTCTCCGAGCACGGCGTGATCGACACACGTGCACAATTCCTCGCAGTAGTCAAGGCACTACCGCGCGAATTCAACAGGCACGTAACACCTAGTATGTTTACTAGTGATGTTTCCAATCCTTACGAAATCTTAAAACGCTCGATTCTTAAACGAGGAGACCTAACCGATCGACAAAGGTTAGATCAACTCTTCAACAATATCGACCTGCAACACGGTTCTGCGACGGACATGTTGCAACGGATGAGAGAGGTAATAGGCCCAAGAACTTTCGACGAAGGCCTATTCAAACAACTCTTCTTGTCAAAACTTCCCCAACAGGTGCAAGCAGTTCTGGTCTCGTTCCAGAACAACGCCTTAGACGGACTAGCTGCATCTGCCGACCGCATTCTAGAAATTACGAAATCTACTACCGAGGTATTTTCAGTCAAAGAAAAACCTCAAACGACTCAGAATGATATAAACGACTTATGTCACACACTCACGCGTTATCTTAGTCTTCGTACCGACCGTGAGAGATCGCGCACACCACGTAGAAGCATTTCTCGTAAGCGATCTGTCTCTAGACCACGAGAGACAGATAACCCCGACTGGTGCTGGTATCATAACCAGTATGGAAAGTTTTCCAGAAATTGCAGAAAACCCTGCAATTTTCCCAACACGAAACCGACTGATTCGAAAAACAATTCGGGAAACTTCCAAGCCGGCACGCGTTAACGGCAACCGTAGCCGGCGAACATAGCCGTCTGTTATTCGTCACAGATGTGACAACGAGAGTTCGCTACCTCGTCGACACTGGCGCAGAAGTTAGCGTTCTCCCAGCAAATCCTAACGACCGGCTTCAGGAATCGGCTTTTAACTTACAGGCGGCAAACGGAAAACCTATCGCTACGTATGGCAAAAGGTACGTTTACCTTAACGTGGGTTTACGCAAACCCATCCACTGGATTTTCGTTGTTGCAGATGTTTCTATGCCAATCATTGGTATGGACCTTCTACAACACCACAATCTGATCATCGACACTCGCAAACGGAGGCTAGTAGACGGAAACACTAATTTGTCCGTTTGCGTAACTTCCTTTACTGGTTGTAGAGTATCCCCAGTCACAGTTAAACATATGATAGACCCACTCTATCAACCACTACTCGATAAGTACCCTGGGATACAACAAACTCAACCGAAACTACCGTGTGTAACCAGCAATGTTACACATCACATCACGACTACAGGACCACCTGTATTCTCTAAAGCACGACGACTAGCTCCTGAAAAGCTAAGGTTAGCGAAAAACGAATTCGATCACATGATGGACTTAGGAATCATACGACCGTCAAGTAGCCCATATGCATCTCCGTTGCACATGGTCCCTAAAAAGGACAGCAACGATTGGCGTCCAACTGGTGACTATCGGCGATTGAACGCGAAAACCATTCCCGATCGTTACCCGTTGTCTCACATTCACGATTTGACAGCTACCTTGAAAGGTACAACTGTCTTTTCGAAAATCGACTTGGTTAAAGCGTATAACCAAATCCCTATGGCTACTGGCGACATACCGAAAACAGCTATCATAACTCCTTTCGGACTCTGAATTTTTGCGAATGCCTTTCGGTCTAAGGAATGCTTCTCAAACATTCCAAAGATTCATAGACGACGTTTTTCGAGGTCTCAACTTCGTACACGCGTATGTTGACGACTGTCTAATCGCAAGTCCGGACAGAGAAACACATCTCAAGCATCTGGATCTTGTTTTCGAACGACTTCAAAAACATGGCATAACTGTAAACGTTCAGAAATGCCAATTCGGAACCGACTCGTTAGACTTCCTAGGACACACTATCGATGCTCAAGGCATTCGACCTCTTAGGACCAAAGTGGCGGCCATTCTGGATTACCCAGAACCGACCACCGTCAAGCAATTACGCACGTTTAACGGCCTGGTAAGTTTCTATAGACGTTTCATACCCAAATGCGCATTACTTATGAAACCTCTGACCGACCAACTTCGTGGAAATGCGAAATCCATTAATTTGGACGACACGGCACGAAAAGCATTCTCCACAGTTAAGGAACTGATTGCTAAAGCAACGATGCTCGCACATCAGGACACCCGAGCACCCATTAGCATCGCAGTAGACGCATCCGACCCGGCAATCGGAGGAGTCTTACAACAATGGGTTAACAACTCCTGGCAACCTTTGGCATTTTTCTCAAGAAGGTTGCTAGACACCGAATCGAGGTACAGCACATTCGGTAGGGAACTCCTAGCTATGTATTGTGCTGTACGGCATTTCCAACACTACATCGAAGGCCGTGAATTCACTCTTTTCACGGACCATAAACCGCTCACTTTCTCGTTAAGCTCTGTTTCTGACAAGTACTCTCCACGTGAGTCTCGACAACTGGACTACATTTCGCAGTTTACTTCAGATATTCAACACATCTCTGGAGCAAACAATGTAGTTGCAGACGCTTTATCTCGTATAACTTCCTTGAACAGTTTCCAAGGAATCGACCTTCTTAAACTCGCCGAGCTTCAAAAAGAAGACAGTGATCTTCAGCACGAGTTATCGTCCACAACACTTAAACTACGCATCAAACAGATGGGAACGGGTAAGGAAACCTTACTTTGTGACACATCTACAGGTAGGGATCGCCCAATCGTGCCGAAACATTATCGACGCAATGTCTTCAACACATTGCACAAACTTTCGCATCCAGGTGTTCGTGCAACCATCAAGCTTATAGCAGAAAGGTTTTGCTGGCCTGGAATGAATAAAGACGTGAGGGAGTGGGCACGCTCCTGTGTAAGCTGCCAAAAATCTAAGGTTATCAGACACAATAAATGTCCCTTAGGCTCGTTTAAAACTCCCGATGCTCGTTTCGACCATGTTCATCTGGATTTGGTAGGACCTTTACCAGATGCAAATGGATACTCTTATCTCTTAACCTGCGTAGACCGTTTCACTCGATGGCCAGAAGCAGTACCTATCAAGGACATCACTGCTGAAACAGTGGCCCGCACCTTCGTCGAACGATGGGTAGCAAACTTCGGTTGCCCTTCAACCATCACTACAGACCGCGGACGTCAGTTTGAATCCGATCTTTTCCGTCGTCTGACCACACTTTTAGGAATCACTCGATTCCGAACGACCGCCTACCATCCACAAGCAAACGGGTTGGTAGAACGTTTCCACCGACAACTGAAAGCTTCGCTATCAGCTGCAAACGTTTCACAGTGGACCGACGCTCTTCCACTCGTCTTACTAGGTATCCGCAATGCAGTGAAAGCTGACATTGGATACACTGCGTCTCAACTCGTTTATGGTACGACACTTCGACTTCCAGGAGAATTCGTGGATCCTTCATCCTCTTCAATGAACATGGATCTAACCTCCTACACGAACAGGCTTACAAACGCAATGCGTTCAGTTAAACCTGCTTCCACTCGACCTCAATCAACTGATGTTTTCGTTCAACCTGACTTACGATATAGTACACACGTTTTCGTTCGTCGAGACTCGCATCGACGACCCTTCGAATCAGCATACGAAGGACCCTTCAAAGTTCTTCAACGTGAATCTAAGTACTATATAGTCGATAAGAACCGAACCAACGATAGCATCAGTATCGATCGCTTAAAAGCAGCGTATTTAGAAGGAAATCCTATCTACGTGGATTTTCCTTCGGTACAATCGAACGACACGACTCCGACACTTATAATACCTCATCCGACAACCAACACACACGATGATACTTCGACAGTATCCGAAAATAAACTTAAAACGACGCGTTCTGGAAGAAGGGTGAGATTTCCAGAACATTTAAACGACTATTGCACGTAAGGCACTTCTCGACATTTTATATTATTTTAAAAAAAAAAACAATTTTAATATGCTTATATATTTTTATTTCTATTTAAAAAAAAACAAAAAAAAACAATTTTTTTCAACGCTATTACGTGTTCATGAGTTTATTTTCCATTTTTTTTCCGCCGACATTGTGCTTTTACGCACATACGAGTGTATTTCGACATGCACTTACATTTTTTTCCTTTTCCAGGACGGCTGGAAAAGAACGACGACGTTTATGAGGATCCGAAATTTTCATTGTACATTTCCTTTTTTTACTATGTTGTACCTCCGTCCCACATAGTAAGGAAAGACGACCAGACGCTGCTAAATTTAGTAAGCTATCAGAAGAGTGTTTACCAACGACAAACTCGTTGGGTTTAAACTTCTGGCTGGCCACGTCTTAGGGTCGTCACTGCCCCACTAGGGGGGGAGTGATCTGTAGCGGTAAATAAATCCCCAAAATGAATAGCACTAAGTTTTCGACATTGGATGCTGACCATATGTTTTAGTGGACTCACCTATCTGAAGGCGCTCGGTCAGTCAT